GAACCACCAGGCAGCTCTAGAGCCAGGGATCTGATTGGTAAGCATCCTTGCCAGCGCGCGCCCCTTGCTCGCGAAAGGATCATTTCAGCAAAGGGAGAAGGGTTCTTTTTGATTGGAGAGTTCAAGGGCACTTCCTCCTGCGCCACTCTCTCCTCTTATTTGCCTGAGTGCCTGCACCTGGGTTTTATAGTGATTGAAGTAAACAGATTTGGGCAAGACCAGGAAGACAATTGTTGGAAGTCTATCTACATCTTCCCTTCCTTCCCAGTGCCGCCCACCCAGAGGCTGGGGTGGGGCCCCGTCACTGCTGTTTGAGCGAAAGTGGACTCCCTTGTGAGGTGTTTGGTTACAGGACTTCTCCCAGAGACTTTGTGTCCACAATTAGGATGGCCGCTCATACAGGAGCATGGATTGTCCAGGAAGAGTCAAATCACTCGAAAACATGACGGTGTAGAAGCACTTTATGAATACAGTTGACCGACCCTTGAACAACACAGGGGTTGGGATGCCAACCACCTTGCAGTTGAAAATCCACGTATAGCTTTTGACTCCCCCAAAACTCCAGTAATAGCCCGCTCTTGACCGGAAGGCTTACTGGTAACATAAATAGTCAATTAACATCTTTTGTGTGTTGTATATGTATTATACACTGTATTCTTACAATAGGTGAGCTAGAGAAAAAAATGTAACTATGGGGCACCTGGGCGGCTCAGTCGACTGAGCGTCCCAACTCTTGGTTTTGACTCAGGTCATGGTCTTGTGGTTCATGGGTTCGAGCCCCACGTCAAACCAGCACGGAGCCTGTGTGGGATTCTTTCTCTCTCCCTCTCTCTCTGCCCCTCCACCGTTCGTGTGCTCTCTCTCTCTCAAAATAAATAAAACTTGGGGCGCCTGGGTGGCTCAGTCAGTTGAGCGACTGACTTCGGCTCAGGGCATGATCTCACAGCTCATGATCTCACGGCTCACGAACTCAGGGCTTGTGAGTTCGAGCCTCGTGTTGGGCTCTTTGCTGACAGAGCCTGGAGCCTGCTTCTGATTCTGTGTCTCCCTCTGTCTCTGTCCCTCCCCTGCTCATGCTCTGTCTCTGTCTCAGAAATAAATAAATACAAAAAAAAATTTTTTTTTAAATAAAAAAATAAATAACATTTTAAAATAAATAAATAAGTACAAATAAATTCTGTTAAAAATAAAATGTTTAAAAAATCATGAGGGAAATACACTTACAGCACTGCACTGTATTTATCGGGGAAATAACCCTGCCCTGGACTCCATGGGGACTTGATGCCACACGTCCCTTGCCCCCCCATCCGTCACCAAGTCCTGTCGACCTTACCTAGAAAATATTTCAAAAGCGCCTCCTCGGCATTTCTACTGCAGCCACCCTCCCACGCCTCCGTCCTCTCTCACCTGCCTACATTCCCCCCGGCTTCTCTCCTGTCCTTCCTCTCCATAGCAGTAAACGGGACCCTGAAACGTAAATCAGACTGGTCCACACATGCCCTCTAAGAAGCCTGTACTGGGCTGGCTCAGTCAGTAGAGCATGCACCCCTTGGTACTGAGTTCGAGCCCCATGTTGGGTACAGAGATTGCTTAAAACAAGTAAAAGTAAGGGGCGTCCGGGTGGCTCAGTCGGTTAAGCGTCAGACTCCGGCCTAGGTCACGATCTCATGGTTCACGAGTTCAAGCCCCGTGTCGGGCTTTCTGCTGTCAGCACAGAGCCTGCTACAGATCCTCTGTCTCCCTCTCTCTCTGCCCCTCCCTCTGTCTCTCAAAAATAAATAAGCATTAAAAAAATTGCTTATTATAGTCCACCAAGCCTTGCGTGATCTGGCCCCTGGCTACCCGTCCCGTACTCTGAGCCTCACCTGGGGTCAGCGCACCTCCAGTCCTTGTTCAGGCTGTTCCCTCTTCCCCCAAATTTACCGGGTGGCTCAGTCGGTTAAGCATCTGACTCTTGATCTTGGCTCAGGTCCTGATCTCACAGTGCACGAGAGTGAGCCGCGAGTCGGGGTTCTCTCTCGCTCCCCCTTGGGAGGGAGATTCTTGGGATTCTCGCTCTCCCTTCTCTCTCTCTGCCCCTCCCCAATAAAACAAAAATAAATAAGTAAATAAAACATAATATGAAAATCTTGAATGTTATGCAAAGAGACAAGATAGTCTTACAATGAGATAACCTAATTGACCGACCGGAAGTATTTCATCCAAGAAGCTGTGCCTTGTTACTAGGAGAGCACCTGGGTCTGGGCCGAGCAAGCTCCTTTCCGACCTCCTGACCTTATTTTTGGATAGTGCTTTGGATGAACTTTTGGAAGTTCATCACGCGACCTTCCACGCATTAGCTCATCTTTTCTTTGAATTAACTTCTCCAGGTGGGTATTTCTATTATTTCCGCTTCGCAGCTATGGAAACCGAGGCTCCGAGGGGCCAAATGACTTGCCTAGAATCGCAGCGCCAGAGCCAAATGCGCTCATCGGCTTCACTTCGAGCGAGCACGTTGCTTGGCCTCACCCAGCTCCTGCTCCCGTTCCTTGCGTCCCCTCCAGGCCTTTCCCGTCCAGCGGGGGAGTTGCAAGGAGGATAAACAATGCATAGCAAATGCCAGGCTGTGGTCCGGAGCCTTCCATCAAGGCCTGTTAGTGTTGTAATTTTTCCACTCAATGTCAAGCTGACGCTGCCCCCCACACACCCCCCCCCCCCGCCCCCCTCCCGCCGCCCGGCGCCCCCCGGCCCCGCCAAGGTGGCCTGGAGGGGACTGAGGGCCTCTTTGCTCTACCTGAAAGGGGCGACACCCTGGCTGGGAGCTGAGGGCTGGGAAAGCCACCAGCCCGGGTCCTTCCAGCCTCTCCCTACACGCTCTTCATACCACACACGTGCTCACACACACCATGCTCAGCGCAATGGAATTTCCAGCCCGGACAGGGAGGCAGGAATGTATATTGAGACCCACAATAGCCAGAAAAATAATTCAGCCTGGCTCCGTTCCCAGGGCAGGCGCCCCTCGCGTCATCCAGACCACAGTCCACACCCAGTCCCTTCTGACCAACCGCCAGGCCCAGCTGCTCTGCTCTCGGCCCGGAAACACCCTCTCGGGGCAGGGTGTACCCTGGGAAGACTCAAAGGGCAAGGGGTGAAAGGGCCCAGAGAAGACAGGAGGGAGAGAAGGTCCTCTCTCCCTCCCCTCCCCCACCCAGGCTCATCCCTGGGACCACAGGGCTTCAGCCAAGGCCCGTTAGCGGCACGAGCTCCGTTCGTTCTCCTCCCGCAGTGGGTAATGGGAAATTAAAGCAATTATGGAGATAAAAGCAGCCCCTTAAACTCTTCCTTACATTGTAGGTAAAGGAGGATTGTCTCTCTTTAGTTTGTGCAGCCATAGCAACCAGGTATCTTTAAACTTTCATGTTTCTGGAAGCCTTGAGCCCCGTAATAAAGAGCAGCTAATCTCTATGCACTTTCATGCTCTTATCCACGCAGCACACGCTCTGCCCTGTGCCCTGGGTATTCGCCCTTGCCGTAGCTCTGTATGCTGTTCTTTCATATACAATGTGCTCGGGGACTTTATTTTTCCTTTTAGAAACCACGAATGAAAGGAGTAGCTCTATAGGATTTCCATGGCTTAAAAACTGGTTTATACAATTTAAAAATTATCTTAAGCAGGGACGCCTGTGTACTACAAGGTAATGTATCTTTTTGTTGATGACCACCTTGTAAATGAATCCATGTTTGACTACAAAAGGGAGAAAGCATGGATGATTGTCTTCTCTTAATTGATACAGGTTTTCTTTAAGACCAACATGTGATCTCAGGATAATTCTAATTATTTCGAGGCTTTTAAAATATCATTTAGGTTTTCGACTACAAGATAAATTGGAAGAGTATAATAAAGAGCAGGAAAGTCTCATCTAAAGAGACTTAAAAGACATCAGTCAGTTGCGATACGGGAACTTTATTTGGATCCCAGTTTAAACAAACCTAAAAAAACGTATGATAAATACAAAGAGAAGGTGGATTTCTGAGTAGATATTTGACGATAAGAGGAATTATTTTTATTTTGTTTTAGCTGTTTTATATTTTTCCAAAGGAAGCCCCTCTCTTTCAGAGATATATACTAAAATATTTATGTAAGAAATATGCTTTCTAATATTTGCTTCAAAATAATATGGGGAGGGAGAAAAGGAGGGGGTTAGATGACAGGTGCTAAGCCATGAATTTGATGATTGTTGAATCTACATATGAGTTCATGGGATTCATTATACTAGTCTCTCTACATGTGTATACATCCGAAATTAATTTTCATAATGATTTAAAGAAATTGAATACACTCATACACACACATATTCCATCAATATGAAAATACTTCCTACTTGCATTTGCTTTTTTAAGTAGACCCTTTGCCCAACGTGGGGTGTGAACTCATGACCTGGAGATCAAGAGTTGCATGCCCTACCAACCGAGCCAGCCGGTGCCCCAAAATACTTTCTAAATATAGGGTGTTTCTAGCTCATTCTAGTCTACTTGTAAAGTGTGTTGAAATGGCCAGTTGGCCCTGTCCATAGGAGAGGATTGGAGCTGTGGTCAAATCTTGGTTCGAAGGCAAGTCTTAAAAACTACTTAACTGGTATTCTTAAGTTCACTACTCGGTCACATCTGAAGACCTCATTTTTATGAGTGTATAAAACTTCACTATGAATAGTATTCAATTTCATCTCTCTCTCCCCCTTACATTCACAGTATCTCTTTGGGGAATGGGGACTCTAAAAATTCTCTGAAGAAGCTAACAGGATGAGTCAAATGACTTGTCCACAGTAACCCAACTCCGGGGGAGCACTGAGCCTGGCTGCTTCCATGGGGGTCCACCCGGTGAGAGGGGACTCAGAACAGAATAAATAAAAAATAAATTCGTAGAAGAATGTATCTGTAGGAACTGGACCCAGGTTGTATCCCAGCGAACATGTGTTAACAGAAACACACTATGGGATCCCCTAGCCTTTCTTCGCAAACCCCAGTTCTTAATCTCCATGAGACTTTAGGCAAGTCACATCCTGAGACCCAGTTTCCACATCCAGCAAGTGGGATAACAAGACTTGCTTTACAGGTTGCTTTGAAGCCATCTAGTGAATGAGTGCCCGGGGCACTGTCGGCTCTGTGTGAGTGCCAGCTGTCACCATGAAGGTAATTAGGTATTTGGAATTTAGGCCACAGCCAATGTTTTATTTGTTTATTTCTATTAAAACATTTTTAAATGTTTATTTATTTTTGAGAGAGAGAGAGAGAGAGAGCACAACAGGGAGGAGCAGAGAAAGGGGGAGACACAGAATCCGAAGCAGGCTCCAGGCTCTGAGCTGTCAGCACAGAGCCTGACGTGGGGCTCGAACTCACAGACCCACAGACCATGAGATCATGACCTGAGCTGAAGTCAGACGCTCAACTGACTGAGCCGCCCAGACGCCCCCAGAGCCAATGTTTTAAACGATAGTTTTGATCCCAGGCTGTTTCTCATTCAGCACATATTAAATGAGTGCCTGCTTGTGCCAGGCATAGTTCTGGGGTCAGAGGATACAGCACTGAACAAGATAGATGTGGCTCCCAGTGGGACGCCTGGGTGTCTCAGTTGGTTAAGCAGCCGGCTCTTGGTTTCAGCTCAAGTCGTGATCTCATGGTTTGTGAGTTCGAACCCTGCCATCGGACTCCGTGGTGACGGTGCGGGGCCTGCTTGGGATTCTCTCTCTCTGCCCCTCTCTTCTCTCTCTGTCTCTAAATAAATAAACTTAAACAATTTTTCTTTAGCTTTTAATATTTATTTATTTTTGAGAGAGAGAGAGAGAGAGCTGGGGAGGGGCAGAGAGAGAAGGAGACACAGAATCTGAAGCAGGTCCAGGCTCTGAGCAGTCAGCACAGCTAACAGTTTGCGGGGCTCAAACTTAGAAACTGTGAGATCATGACCTGAGCCAAAGTTGGACGTTTAACCGACCGAGCCACCCAGGTGCCCCTAAATGAATACACTTTAAAAAAGAAAAGAAAAGAAGAAAGATGTGGATCCTGGCTCACGCAGAGCTTGCAGACCACAGGTCAGCCCACAGAAGCTTGCATGACACAAGAACACCTGAAATAGAGTATTGATAGTGTCTAGCACCGTTACCTCAGTTCTCCCTTGTCTTCATAGTCGTCTGAGAGAACACAGGCCCCATTCCTACTTCAGTGAGCATCTCCTACCTCACCCCACACAGCTGGGGCTGCCTCTTGGCTCCTGGGACGGTGAGATGGCCGGTTGCTCCATGGAGGACCTAGGACGAGTAGAGGGTGTCAGGATCCGGGCAAAAGAGGTTGGATGAGAGTAGGACCACATTAGGCAGATTGATGGAGGCCCCTGGGTCGGATATTTGGAAGGGACGTGGTCGGGGAAGAATCCTCCACCTTGAAAACGGGCTCATTCCCATGTGGCTAGTGGGCGGGTTCAGAAGTAAAATCCAAGATAGTCAGTTTTCAAGGGATTGGAGAGAGCAGTAGGTCCCTTGAACCATTGTCCTTGGAACGTCCTTGGAGTTATTCTGGTTCTCATTCTTGTCATTGGTGAGACGCAAAGTGTGATTGGCGGCATCATCAATGGGTATCAGCTCTGTCACAGAGGTGTCCTAGGTGCTGGGGTGCCCAACCCCATGCCACAGCTCTCTCTGAATTCTGCTTCTCCCCAGGTCCACCCAGGTGGTCCTGGAGCTCCCAGAGATATTCCACATAGGGTTTTCTTTCATGGCCACACAGGACAACCTTACTGAGCTGCTGGTGGGAGAGGATCAAATGGCCCCAAAGTGTTTTGCGTGGAGGACGCCCCCAGTGGGCATTCACCCCCAGACCCGTAAGCTGGAAGGAATCCCAGAACTCATGATAAGGAGTCTCTGAAAGGAATGATTATTTTTTTTTAACTTTTTTTTTTAATGTTTATTTATTTTTGAGACAGAGAGAGAGCATGAATGGGGGAGGGGTAGAGAGAGAGGGAGACACAGAATCCAAAGCGGGCTCCAGGCTCTGAGCTGTCAGCACAGATCCCGACGCGGGGCTCGAACTCACAGACCATGAGATCATGACCTGAGCCAAAGTCGGATGCTTAACGGACGGAGCCACCCAGACACCCCGAGGAATGATTCTTTTTACTGGAGTTACTTTCCTCTTAGAAGTCTACTGACCTCATTGCCAACAATTTTTTCCTTCTCACTCTCACTGAGCTAAGCAAAGTTGGAGGCTGGGCCAGGGGAAAGGACCGATAGGTGTTACTGTTGCAGGTAAGGACTTAAGGCAGGTCCAGGATAGATGCTCAGGGGACACCCAATGTGAAGGAGCTGAGTCTGGCCAAGGACGGGACAACAATGAGGTCAAGACCATTGCTCTTTACAGAAGACACAATATTTTTAAAATATTTTTATTTATTTTTGAGAGAGAAAGGGAGGGGCAGAGAGAGAGGGAGACAGAGGACCCGAAGTGGGCTCCGTGCTGAGAGTGGAGAGCCCCCTGTGGGGCTCGAACTCCCAAACCATGAGATCATGACCTGAGCCACCCAGGCACCCCAAAAGAAGACACAACTTTTTTTTGAAGACACTATCTTTTTTTAAGTTAAAACAATTCTTTTTCTTTCTTTTTAAAAAAAAATTTTTAAGGTTTATTTATTTTGAGAGAGGCAGACAGCATGAATGGGAGAGGGGAGAGAGTGAGGTAAAGGGAGAATTCCAAGCAGGCTCCTCCCTGGCAGCACAGAGCCCGATGTGAGGCTTGAACTCATGAAACTGTGAGATCATGACCTGAGCCAAGATCAAGTTGGACGCTTAACTGTGCCACCTAGGTGCCCCTTTGTATTTATTTGTTTCTTTTCAGAGACAGAGAGTTCATGTGTGAGCATGCCAGTGGGGGAGGGGCAGAGAAAGAGGGAGAGAGAAAATCCCAAGCAGGCTCCACACCCAGCCCGGAGCCCGACTTGAGGCTCCATCACACAACGGCGACAAAACAACCTAAGCTGAAATTCAGAGTCAGGTGCTTAACCGACTGAGCCACCCAGGCTCCCCATATTAGCTAAATTCTTAATGAATGAATGAAGGAAGAATGGTAGCTATTGCATCCACAGCCCCAGGGGTTCAAGAACCATCCTAATTTTCTTCTTTAAATCAAGTCAACTTAAATCCTACTTCAAGCGTTTGTTTCAACAGACTTCTAGGCAACGCAATCTCAGTCACGATTGGGTTTCCCTCACCTTCCATAGCTACCAGGAGGTTTTGATGATGCCAAAGATATGGGGGATGGTCAGTCCACCATGGTTTTTGTCCAAACCTCTGAAGTCCCTTGAAATCTTGCAGATCTCTGTTTCCGTGCCATGTCTGAAATCCAGGAATTCTCACTGTGGCGGGAGTGGGCGCCCCAGAGCCAAGGCTCTAGACTCCTGGGGACGCCAGTGGGCCATCTCCTCTGAGCACTTGCCATTTCTGTGAAGCGTGCCAAAGTGTAAGCTTGGGGGCCCCTACCCTCGGGACTAAAAGTTCTCTCTGCTTCCCTACGTCCCCCCTTGCTGCCCTCGGAGTCGCTCCTCTCTCGGTCCTCCTCCTTTTTATTTTTTAATTTTTATTTAATGTTTACTTATTTATTTGTTGGGAGAGCGTGAGAGGGGAAGGGGCAGAGAGAGAGAATTCCAATCAGGCTCTGTACTGTCAGTGCAGAGCCTGACGCGGGGCTCAAACTCCTGAAGTGTGAGATCATGACCTGAGCCGGAATCAGGAGTCCGAGGCCTACACTGGCTGAGCCACCCAGGTGCCCCTCCTCCTCCTTTTTAAATTGGCATGGCAGCTCGCTTCTGTAGCTTTTGTAGCCTTCAACGCAGCCACGGGGGAGGGGCGGAGAGAGAGGGAGACCCAGAATCCCAAGCGGGCTCCAAGGTCTGAGCTGTCAGCACAGAGCCCGACGCGGGCCTCAAAATCACAAGCCAGGAGATCTTGACCTGAGCCGAAGTCTGACACTTAACCGACTGAGCCACCCAGGTGCCCCTCATTTTATTTCATTTTTTTATTTTTTTAAAAGTTTATTTATTGAGGGAGAGCGGGAGGAGGGGCAGAGAGAGGAGAGAGAGAAAATCTCAAGCAGGCTCTGCACGGTCAGCGTGGAGCCCGATGCGGGGCTCGAACCCACGAACCCGTGGGATCAAGACCTGAGCCAAAATCGAGAGTCAGACGCTCAACTGACTGAGCCACCCAGGAGCCCCTGGGATACTCATTCTGGCGCCACCACGGAGTCACCAACCTTGGGCAATTCACTCCTTTGTGCCTTCATCTTTCATCTTCAAAGTAAGTGAAATTATTCTTATTTCGCGCATGAAACTGCTGTGATAATCCAAGGTGATAACTTGCCAGCAGGTGCCTTATACATAGTGTCAATTGTCATTACACATGCAAGGTTTTGTTTTTATTTATCTTAGTAACTTGTCGAATCATACTGCTTTCTTAACACGGCCAAGGACGTGTGTGCAAGACACTTTGCTGTAGGCAGCCACGTGACAAATGCGCAAGGCACGTCAGGAGCCAGGTCCTGAGTAGAAGGCATCGGCTGGTCTCAGTGCTTCGGTGTCTGGGTGGGTGCTTATGTCAGGAGATCCAAAGCAAAGAGGGGAAGGAGTTAGGCAGCACAGAGGGAACGGGGCTGTTGAAGTTTGGGGCCTGGGGACGTTGCCACCGGTCAGTAAGAGGATTACTGTTCTAGTGAGGAGGTCAAACCGAGGGACAGGTCTTGGCGTGGCAGAGGTCAGGATGTGGAGGCTCTGGGTAACAGGGTTATAGAATCTCGGGCCCAGAGAACTCGGTTCATCTGCCAAACTCACTCGTAGCTGGATCCCAGGGTTGGGAGTCCACGGGTCAGGTCCAGGCAGAGAGACTCAGTGGTGGAGATCAAACTCCAGGCACAGAATGACTACAGAGCATCAATTGTAGCAAGTCTTCTGCTTGCATTTTACCTGCACCGTCCCTCGGGTGTAGGGACGTCCCCGTGAAGACAAGGGGCTGCGTCCCATAGCTGAGGAAACGCAGAGATTCAGAGATGCGGTCGCTCTGCCGAATGGCCGAGCCTGCGACTATCTGACTCCACGACCGGAAGAAATGGGCATCAGAGATGGGGGGAGAGGGCGAGCGAGGGGGGCAAAGGAAGAAGCTGCAAAACTCTGTCGATCTCATCCCTTTTTCTGAGGGGGGCTCATGGAGGAGAGCCCTTGCTCACACAGGGACAGGACGGACTCCCGCAAGAACACAAGAAACCACCTAGAACAAATCCCAACTCAGACAATCATCTTGGCACCTTTCCAGCAATGCTTTGGAAGTGAGGGGCAGGAAGATGCCAGTAAGCTGGAAATTTCTAGAAGCAAAGGCTATTTTAAAAGAGGGCTGGGTGGGGCACCTGGGTGGCGCAGTCGGTTAAGCGTTTGACTTCAGCCAGGTCACGATCTCGTGGTCCCGGAGTTTGAGCCCCGCGTCAGGCTCTGGGCTGATGGCTCAGAGCCTGGAGCCTGTTTCCGATTCTGTGTCTCCCTCTCTCTCTGCCCCTCCCCCGTTCATGCTCTGTCTCTCTCTGTCCCAAAAATAAATAAACGTTGAAAAAAAAATTTTTTTTAAAAGAGGGCTGGGTAACGAGATGGGGAAACACTTTGGACACGACGTTAGGAAAAGCAGTGTGCAGGATTACTGTTTTGTATAGAAGTGAGTAGAGAAATACACAGGGAAGGTAATGGGTTGTTAGGTGCTGAGATAGGATATTTTCCTGCTTAGTTTGCAAAATTTGTATAATGTATTACATTTTGAAAGTAGTCATCATGAAAAAATAATCATGAGGCTTATGTGAAAATGTGAATAATGTTTATGAATCAGTTACGAGCCTGCTCTTTTAAGCAGAATGTATGATGGAACCAGGATGGATGTAATTAAGAGCACTGCACATAGTGATGTATGTGCAGTGCTTGGCACGTAGTACATGCTCAATAAATAAGTAGCAGGAGTGATGTGTAGCTATGGAAACAGTGCTAAGGTGCCGGGGTTGGGGATAAGGTTGTCTCTTTTTTCCTTTTTTAACGTTTCAGTATTTTTAAACATTTAAATCCAAGTTACTTAACATAGAGTGTAAGAAGGATTTCGGAAGCAGAATTTAGTGATTCATCACTTACATATAACACCCACTGCTCATCCCAACAAGTGCCCGCCTTAATGCCCATCACTCATTTAGCCCATCCCCCCACCCAATATCCCTCCGGCAACCCTCAGTTTGTTCTCTGTATTTCAGACTCTCTTCTGGTTTGAGGTTTTTTCTTTGTTTGAAATTTGCTTTAATGTTACATTGGCTTCCAAAGCCCTGAAGAAACCACAAGGCCCTACTGAGGGCCAATTCGCTAGGATTCTTAATACATTAGAGTCTTAAACCAAGATTCTTAGCTGAACATATAAGCCAATATAGGCCAAACATGCTTTCTTTATACGCAAAGATGTTCCAGCACACCTTTCTAGAAGCAAGGGCATCCATGTTGAGAGGCACGCCTGGGCCTCCGGTTTCTCTCAGATATGCCCAATATCCAAGCATATGCCCAATATCCAAGCAGAAGTTTCCGTAACACGCGGGGTCAGACGAGAGCCTGAAGCCACAGTCTTTCTTCTAAGTAGAGCTGATGGGGCCTCTGGGGATGGAGCCCAGGGTCCTGGACTTGTTTCTTAGACACTTCAGACTTGATTCTGGAAGAGACAGAAGATCTCAAGGGAGAGCGGGGCCTGCCCGGAATCGGTGGGGCCCCAGGCAGAGAGTAAGCACTGGCTTACACTGGGGGCCTATGTGGAGTCCCCACAATCCCTCAGCATTTCAGAGTCATCCCTGAAGTATCAGGAACCTGGTTCCAGGAAACCTGACACTCACCGTGGCTTCAGGCAAGTTGGGGTCAAAGAGCGG